GGGTTTGGGTTTAGGGTTAAGGGTTGAAACCTGACTCCCTAAATCCTAAGCTTCACCTATAGTCTCCATTGCAGTTCCTTTTTTTGGTTTAACCAAGTATATACTAAGGAGTTTATAAGGTATCCCCAAACAGGAACTACAATGGAGACTATAGGTAAAGCCGAAACCCTAATCCGTACACCCGAAGCCTTAATCCGAAACCCAGAACCCCTAAACTCCCTAAACTCCCTAAACTCCCTAAACCTCAAAACCCCTAAACCCCTAAACCCCTTAAACCCCAGACCCTACACCCTAGAACAAACATCGAAATGGGGGGGGGGGGGGTTGCTGAGGGCTTTTGGGGTTTGGTTTGGGTCTATTGCTTGGGGTTCATGGTTGCTGGAGCCGTTTTCAAGCGTTGAGTCTTTCACTACTTTTCAACTGCGGCTGCTATATTGTCAGTGGTTGCGAGTGACCCCCACTTGGAGGCCCAGGGCACTTAGTACGTAGGTTATAAGTAGAGCTATAAGCACCCTAAATGGAGTTGCTCCAATTAGAACCATACCTACTTACTAAGTCCCCTGGGCCTCTAAGCCAGGACTTCCGCAGCTCCCCTAAACCCCAAACCCTAAACCCTAAACCCGTGTTCCGGCCCAAGTGGACCCCCGTAAACCCAGATCTTCCAACAGCGTTTGATGGATTCAGAAGTATACTTGACATCATATTCGGGACCTTGCCATGGACTTGAGGTAGAAGCCTCAATTTATAGGATTTTGGAGGGAAGTTGTTGAAGAGATTTTTGGACCCAGGTCTTTGACGCAAACTTACTCGAGGAAGCTCACTGCGCCCCTGCCAAAGGCCGATGGTGCTCCGATTCCTGAAGGGTTGAGCATATGCTACGCCCTTACCCCCTGCAGCCTAAACCCGAAGCCCTGAACTTTAATCACCCTCTCGACCCTAAAACCCTAAACCCTAAGACCCCAAACCCCTAGAACCCGTAAACTCTTTATTTGGTACTACGGTGCAGGATACAGGCTGTTAGTGTCTTCAGTTGCGCCTTTTGATTTTCAAGATTTGAAGAAGCACTGGAAAGTAATATAGGGGCCTGAGTAATTACCTATAGTATTCTGGGGGTTCCTGTTTAAACATATAGTATAAGCGAGCCCAAAACCCTATTCTAATTTAGTAAAAACCCTATGTTATGCCTTAAGTTTCAGGGCCTGGGACTTAGTTTCATTCAGCCACAATCTTCTGGGTTTCCAGGGTCCTTGTGTAGTTCTTGCCCTAAAGTGCCATCATATAGGGACGACTCTATGACCCCCCTTATACCGTACACCAAGGGAGCCGAAAGGAAATACTTGGGCACATGGACCCTCAGGGGTTGTCCGTGCTGGCGACATACCGCTTTGTTTCAGGTGATTGGTTTTGGGTTTATAGGGGCTCTGGATTTACGAGTCAGTCGCGTCCTTTAGGGCTTAGCGTTTAGGGGCTTTCGGTTTAGGGTTTAGGGGCTTCGTAAGGGTTTATGATTCAGTCGCATCTTGATAGGTAGTCATCGTCGAAGATGCCATCAGTACTTGTGCCTTTTTCCCGACTTCAGGTATCCTGCCTCTTACGCCCGAGAGCCCAGACTAAACCCAAAGGCCCTAAACCCTCAACCCTTAAAGCCATAAACCCTAAACCCCCAAACCCCTAAGCCCTAAACCCCGAGCCCAGTGATGCTTCCCGTCCCTTTTTCTTGTTTTGAACCTATGGAGTCAGCCTTAGAGGCCTGAACAGTCGTCGCCTCTTCTGCTTGCAAGAGTATGCGCGAATGCTCCCGGAGTGGCGAGTCATCATTGTCAAGCTCATGGCCAGAAGCCCATACACGGTTAAGGGTTTAGGGTTTAGGGTTTAGGGTTTAGAGTCAAGGCGGAAGCTTCGTGGGTGCAAGATTACTGTTTCAGGTCAAACGGGATGTAGTTCGCGGTCGCGCTCCTTCCCTTTCCTGAAGCTCGTCGTCATCGCTTTCAAGTGTGTGAGAG